AAATAGAACCAGCACTCTTCCATAAACTTGTCCACATCATTAGAATCATCTTCCATCCGAACGCTAGGTGGATATTTTCATTAAAAAGACAAAAAAATCACTGCTCTTTCATAAGAAATGATAGGATTCGAAAACATCTTAAATGCAAGTGTTTCTGAAACAATAGCTCCAAACACTCGATAACGGAGGCTCCATTTTTCACCGTAGAAAGACTCAAAATATCAAACCAATTATCTAAACAATAATGATTTATAACATGTAACATGATAAAATACGCAAACAAATATAGTAATAAATTTCCCTTTAATTACAATGTGTAAATAACCTGATACATTATTGTTTTATGAGAATAAACAAAACTTCATCATGAAAATTTGGTGATATTATTAATTCTGGAAGCAGATTATTAAGGCATTTTCTAGAAGAAATTTTTTTGCTGACGACCGAAACACTCCCACTTTATATAAATATTGTTTGTTATTGGCGGAGTTAGACATTCACATATACAATACAATACTGAAGCCTTAAAACGAGTGACCCGATAGAATATTCTTTTAAACATATATTCTTAGATAAAACTTTTGTTATTGTCAGAACTGTTTGTTTGTTTTATTTTACGCCTTTTCCCAACAGTATTTCAGTCATATAAGCGGGTAGTTTCCTAACCATCGTTCCTGGAGAGTTACACCAGTACTAGACTACCTTCCTCCGCGCTAAACTACCAATTTTGAAAGCAGAACTGTCTGCAAGCAAGTTATGCATTGTGTCGTCGTATGATTATCCTTTTTGATAACAAATATTGAAATAACATTTAAGGAAGCGTTTGCACCGTGCGATTTTAGTATATTAGTATATGGGTCTATGGGTCCATTTCTATTAAGATTCATTTTCCGAATTCAGTATAATTGTACGTTTCGAAGTTGTTTTACAATGCGAACGACTGGATCTTCCAATATATAGTTATTTTATTGCCGTGTACTCGTCCAATAAAATTCAGTACAAATGAACGTACAATACATACATATATTATAACCATATTATCATCTTACAACAGTCCATTCTTAGGATCATATAATAAAGGGCATGTCAAAATGTTATCTTGTTCAAATCACTTGTATAGCATTCTTTTGACACATCCTTCTTTTGTTTCCAATTGTTTTATTACAAGTCAAAATTGACAAAACAGAGAGAGAGAGGGAAATAAATGTATAAAGAGCTGATGAGAGACAGTGTGTGTAATTTTGTAACGTTAAAACAAAGTGATGCTGTCATTGATAGAAATTGAATCACAAATTTCTAGGGAAACAAGTACCGAAATGTCAATAAGTTAATTCGAGGGCAGAAAAACATAGCAAATATATATTTGCTTATAATTAATGACTACAAATTTCATATATTACTGGCTGTTGTGACAAAAGAGAGAGCTCATTTTTTTCAGGAACGCTTTAATTCATTTGAAAAGTTTATATTCGTTGTAAATTAAGAGTATTTTATTAAAGTATACACATAAGTATAAGTATTTGTATGTGTATAAGAAATATATAATAATAAAACAATATATTCCACATTGGTGATTTTTCTGAATATAATTTCGCTTTTCATTTATTTAACTATTTTTACACAGAATAGGTACAACATTTTTAGATATTTCATTTATAATTACCTCCCTTTTTTATTTTGATTAGTTCATTTTGACCATATCAATGTTCATCACGATTCCTGTAACTTATTGTACTGGCAATTCCATGCTTGATAAAAAACCATCTCATACACAAGTATAATTATGTTTTAGGGTCAGGGGCTTTAAAATCCTCAAAAATTAGTATTGTGTTGTTTTCATTTCATAGTTATAAAATAACATTTTATTTATAGTGGTGTTTCAAGTACACTTTATCAACCTTATAAATGTAAAATAAATAAATAAATTATGAAAAAAAAGCAAAATCACAATAGTTTATGACTTATTTTCTTTTAAACTGTTTTGGTATGGCATTAAGGATGAATTTAGTTTATTGTCGTTATTTTGAAAACAATTTATGCATCCCCTTTGCCAAATTTGAGTGTATGCCTTACGCATTAGCAAATTTCCATCAGAATAGGTATGAAATGGCATAATGACATTATCTTTGAATAAAAATAAAGTCTGTAAAACAACTTTATACGCATAAATTGTCTATAACATTATTCTTATTCTGTGAGCACGGGTTTTCTTGTTTTGCAATTCTATTTTTCAAATATAAAACTATACATTTTAACATAGGAGTACCGTTGTTAGAGTCGATTCCAAATAACATTCAAATAAATAAAATATTTTTTTTTGTTGTTGCTATTGTTGTTTTTTGTTTGTTTCGTCATTTACTGCGTTTGTTTGTTTCATATGTTTAATATTTGAGAGCCTATTTATTCTTCAACTATAATTGTTTCACAGAAAGGTCAAACACGGTGTTATTAGTCCAGAAAAGATATTATATTAATTTAGTCTTCTTTGTTATAATAATTATATTATTGTCGTTTTGGTACTTTAAACCAATTAGTACAGCTATTTAAACATTAAAAATACATCATGAAACACTTTAACGATTGCGGTGAAAGTTAATTCTCATTTGATAGCGTTCTTTAACTAAATGATATTTCTGGTCCCTGGGAAGAATCACTAACCTTAGGCACACTAGCCCACCTGAACACTTGTGTATGTTTATATTTAATTCGTGAAAACGACATTTGGAACGGGATAATTTATCGTGCAAATAGTTTTAATAGCCTAGGAAAAGAATGCTTTTTTAAGCCGTTTGAGCTAGTTATTTTGGCATCAGCAAACACAAAAAAGCCGTTACAAAGACATAACTATGTAATCAAAAAGAGAAAAAAATTCGTTTCATACAATCATCAAATCATGGGAACAATATGGCTATTATAGAACGTCCTATAATGTCATGATAGTATAGTATAGATAATAGGTGACAATGAATTAGAAGTGATGAACTGGTATTTGAATATATCAATTAATTTTGTGGATCATTTACTTAGATACTTAACCCTTTCCCCCATGAGCATATTGTGAAAAATGGCCATTTTCACTGAAAAGCCTCCTCTGACAAGTTCAAACTGCTATGAAACTATAACAAATGCTTCAATACTAATCAAACTTGGCTCAAATGTTAACTGGACCATTGCCTTTGTAACGACATGCTCAGTCTTAAATTTCCTGTTACCATGGCAACGAGGGGACATCTCAAAATTGCCAAAAATCACTTTTTTGCCTCGATTTTTTCCATCAAATTTTATTTCAAAGTGCTGCAACTTCTCAAGGGATTGAGATAGAGTCAAAGGCTTTTCAGCGTTGGCTACACGTTACCTTATGATCAACCTGGGGACATTTTAAGCCTCTCACAAGTCCAAAATTTTCTTGGCGATGAGGGGGACTCCGCCCCCCTTCAAACCCCCCAAACACAAGGGGGCACATCCCCCTTCTGGCAACCCCCTGATGTATTATTTGGATGGGGGACGGCGCCGAAAAAATGGTCACTTTTTTTAACAACATTTCTCAAACGAAAAACAGTGTTTGGGGTCTAAATAGGACATTTTTGCACTGTTTGAGGCCTCAAAAAGGGGGGGGGGTCAAAAAGCCGTCGAAACACGCTTATATAAGGGAAAAGGTTAACAAAAAATGATGAAAAACCTTGGAATCACCCAAAATCTAGTTTTTCCATGTTAACATGTGGTCTTTTACATAATTTTGGTGAAAAATTGTTGTTTTGTAACATTTAAAATTTTTTAGTTAACCCTTTCCCCCATGAGCATATTGTGAAAAATGGCCATTTTCACTGAAAAGCCTCCTCTTACAAGTTCAAACTGCTATGAAACTATAACAAATGCTTCAATACTAATCAAACTTGGCACAAATGTTGACTGGACCATTGCCTTTGTTACGACATGCTCAGTCTTAAATTTCCTGTTACCATGGCAACGAGGGGACATCTCAAAATTGCCAAAAATCACTTTTTTGCCTCGATTTTTTCCATCAAATTTTATTTCAAAGTGCTGCAACTTCTCAAGGGATTGAGATAGAGTCAAAGGCTTTTCAGCGTTGGTTACACATTACCTTATGATCAACCTGGGGACATTTTAAGCCTCTCACAAGTCCAAAATTTTCTTGGCGATGAGGGGGACTCCGCCCCCCTTCAAACCCCCCAAACAGAAGGGAGCACATCCCCCTTCTGGCAACCCCCTGATGTATTATTTGGATGGGGGACGGCGCCGAAAAAATGGTCACTTTTTTAACAACATTTCTCAAACGAAAAACAGTGTTTTGGGTCTAAATAGGACATTTTTTCACTGTTTGAGGCCTCAAAAAGGGGGGGGGGGGCAAAAAGCCGTCGAAACACGCTTATATAAGGGAAAAGGTTAAGCTGGAATTAGGTATATACTGGTACACTGATTAAGCAAAATATCATTTGCATTTGATTTAGCTCGATTATTACTTACTTTGTCTTGTTTCTCACCGCTTTCGAATTAAATTAACGTGGATCAGTGTTCTGCGACATCGCCCCGTACTTATATCAACACTGAATTGCCAGCTTCTTTTGGTTCATTTGGTTCATCTTATGTATGTCATGCTGCCTTTTAATTGCTAATATGGCGTGCGATTAATTTCACAACTTAAACGGCATTCAAACTACATTTTTAGAATTATTTATGCTTACTGGATAATACATGTTGATTATATTTCATAGTACTAGTATGTTTCATGAACAACACGTATAGCGTTATATATCAACGTTTTATTAAACGTCTTGTTAAAGGTGAAAAATTTGTTTCGCAATATGTTTTTGTCCCACACTTACGGATTGACTCCTTCACAGCAATATTAAAATTGTTGTGTTTTAAGTAAGACACTTTAGAAAGATTAATTGTATCAAAATTTCTTAATAGATTGTTTAAGTATGTTATAGTTATTCGTCTATAGCCATCACAAAATTACTTGATAGTGTCACCTGCTTTGTATCACATGCTTTAACACGCACTGAACATGATAAGGACAATAACGTTGGCGATACCACAATGTTTTGGTCATATTTAATCATTCAAAAGATGATGTTGATATTTTACGTATACTCTGTGTTCTGTGGATCTATCGGTGAGTGATTTTTCTTTCTTTTTTTTATTTTCTAAGTTATCTTCATAAATATGTACATTCGATGCTGGTATGCAAATCTTTGTGGAAACTTCAAAAGAAAATTCGTCAATAATAATCATGATCAATTAACGAGTGTAGGCAAGTTAAAGAGTAGTAGAGTAAAAATTACATTTAAATGGTGATTCAATAAAGATTTGACTGTATTTTTTGTTTCTGTTTATTTAATATCATTTTTAACTCTGCTTCTGCATACTCTTCTATTTGTCAGATAAATATTTCCCAGATAAAATTTGTCAGTTATTTTCTTTTTCAGATCAATAATTATCAGATCAAAATTTGTATCATTTCCTAATGTAATAACTGCCTTTAAACAGCTCATGTTTTGGTTATTCATTATAATATTAATTATTTTTTAATAAATTTATATTTATTTTAAATGAATATCTAATTATAAATAAATGAATACATATTTAATATATTAATTCAGTTATTTTTATTTATTTATTTATTTATGTGTTTATATTTAAGTTAATTAGTCATATATTTGTTTATTTTTTAACTTATTCATTTATATCGCCAGCAAAAAAGGAGCCTTGTTTAAAGCTTGTAATATCAAGATTTTCATTTATATGTTTTATGTTGTAAAGTGTTGCTAGTCTAAAATATAAAGCAAATCTAAACAGGCGCAAATGTCAATTATTATATATACATATTATATTTTTATTTTCAAAGCTGTGGATGCATCTAAGGAGGCTGGTGTTCGGTTTCTTAGCAACTCTCTTCATGCATCATCAAAGATCATAAACGGAGTAGAAGCAGAAAAGGGTGAATTTCCCCATCAGGCGGCACTCCTGTATGAAGGCTACCACTTATGTGGTGCATCTGTTATCGCTCAAGACTGGGCAATTACAGCTGCTCATTGTGTCGAGGGCAGGTAATTTTGAATAACGACATACACATACATCATAAAACCGAATTTTATTTGTATTATACAATATATCTTTACAATAATATGAGAAAGTAAACATTATTTAAGCTGATTGTAAAATTAGTTTAGTTTTACCAACATTTTACCAACTACTTAGTAGTACTGCACATACTCAAACATTATAACATTTTATTGATTCGTGGTAATAGTTTCTCTTTCAAACTATCTCATTCAAGTGCTTGAGCATACGCTCGTATACACTTTTAAATCTGTATTCAAAATATAGGTCCACAGAATTAGTAGCGATAGTTCTAAATCTTCACGACTACCAGAACCCCGGAACACTTGGAGTAGATTACTTGTGGTTCTACATTGATGAAATCATTATTGTAAGATGTTTAATAATCGATCGAAATATCCTACATACATGTTATAATTTAAATAACACATTTCTTGGCTATTTGCTCTTTAAGTTCGCTGTAATAAATTATTTAGGCGTTTTGTTAGTTCCCATGTATGTAAGAGACACTTATCGTACTAATTTAAGTTGATTTCAAGCATACTGAGATGGTGTCTTTATCATGTTTACTCAAAATAATTTAGCTAGCCAATTTTAGGGTCGCTTAAGTTATCACTAGATGCTTAGACGTCCGTGACCGAGTGGTTAAGACTTCAAACCACTTGCCCTTCACCGGTGTGTGTTTGATGTATGATTCTTTCATATGATGAAGCTAGATAGCTCACGAAACGTTGAAATCTTACTCGGTGGTTAGCTCGTCCTTGAAATAATGCACGGAGGAGCACCTAAAGTTATCCTTCACCCAGTAAGAATATTCCGATGCGTGCCATTCAAACAGAAAAATAAATTGTGAAAAACAAATAAAATCAACTCATGAAAACATGCGCAAAAAGGCTTTGTGGATGTCACTCAATCAGATACATTTTTCATTTCAAAGTCTGTGTTTACATATATCTAAAACACTTAATTGCAAACAAAAAATAAAGTCTGTCTTGTTAATGACCATTTATGGTTGAACTCATATCAACGGCTATTCCATGGCTATTGGCAATTGACAGAATATATTTTGTCACAGCATGAAGACTATAACACGGGTTCTGGAGCTCTCCCAAATGATATAGCACTTCTAAGATTGACGACGAATGGATATAACATCTCTAGGAACATTATACGGCTTGCAAGGGGAGCCTATGATTATTCTAACCAAATATGTACAATATCTGGGTGGGGAACGAAAGGTAATACACCTTAGTTCATCGCATGTCATAATTTTGTCAACATAGAGATTCCTTGCTTGGTATACAATCCTCTACGATTGCAACGAATAATAACTTTTCAAGCTTCAAATTAGTTATATAATGTATAGGTAAATTTCTAAAAATATATCAAAACCCTTGTCAGAACATTTGAATATTTGACATATACAATGTGTTTCTTCATTTTTACTGTATTGTATCTCTATGCCTTTTCAAAGTTGACGGTTCAGCTGCTTCAAAACTGAAGAAAACAGACGTGTCTGTATTATCGTATGGTCAATGTGTGTACTACTGGGGAGATCAGAACGTTCTTTCTCAACATGTCTGTGTCAAAGGTTACGATACCATTGAAGGAAGTGGATCATGCACCGTGAGTTCTGATCTCCTTTGCATGAACACATCTGGGTATTTTTACATTTTCAGAATTACACCATTAAATGTTTAAATGTTCAATACTGCTTCAGCCGGTGTTAGTGGCGTTTGATTGAAACATAAAAATGGTGAAACATACGCAGATGTGTTCAGACGAGGGTCACTTTCAACATCAACAATATCGATATTGAAGTCTCCAATATTTGTAGCATTAACACGTTTTGTACTTCGTAAAAGGAAACGTAATGATGATATGCTGATATAAGTGCCGGATATGAAGAAAGCAAACACTTTGTGAAGTAAATGTATTACATGTCTGATTGAAAACGCTTTCCTTTTGACAAATGAAATTCCATTACCCTTAGACAATATAGCCAAGAAGTATTAGATATTTTGCATGGAAGTCAGGTGATGCCGTATGGACAGCAGAAATGTATGTTTATTATGTCACCGTGTACATCAAGTAATTTAAATTTGTTATACATGTATACAGTTACTGTGCATCTTTTGTTATGATTGATGATATGCCATTGTGAAAAATTGGATAAGCGTGCACATTTTAGTTTTATCAAGATTTGCAAGGCTACTTAAACAGTTGAAATAACATGGCCACAAAAAGCAACTTCGTTGACAAAAACATTTGTTTAGTCGTTTTTGTTTTGTTTGGTTTTTGTTTTTTGTTGTTTTTGTGGTTTTTTTTTATGATAATTGTTGTCTGCAAACGGTCTGTCCCTTTTTACGGAAATAAAATCAATAAAGAAACTCGGAGCAACTTCAATTCAAGCTTTTCTTTTAAGTTGTTCATTATATTCTTGAAAAAAAATGAAAAAATGTTCCTGCATAAAATATTTTAAATAATCTTAACAGGGCGACAGTGGTGGACCGTTAGTCTGCGGAGATGATCTTGTTGGTGTGAAGTCCTGGGTTATATATGGATGTCACCAAGACGGCGTCGTGACACATCCTAGTGTCTATGCGCGTGTTTCTTCTTTCTACAATTGGGTAAATGCAAAATGTGGAAATTGTGCTATATAGATGACATTTAATGTCTATTTGTCAAGATGAAGTGCAAAATAAAAACAAACAACTTTAAATATATTGTTTGTCATGTGCCGTTGTTTATTCATAACTGTACATATGTCTTCTATAAACAGTGAAGCCTCTTCAAAACAGAGCTGTCATTTGAAGAGCAATGACCTTTTTATAATTGTTTTATCATTACTTTATTAAATAACTTTTAACATAATTATTTTACCTCTCGACAGCAACATCTCTTAGCAGTAACCACACTCTTTGTCTCCTAATAACTGTTGCTCTGCGGATATTGTAACAGGAAACAATTAAAGAACGAGACATGTGCAAATCGTATAGCAATGTCTGTTCCATGATACACCTATGGTTTTAATATCGCTTGATGTGCGAGGCATGTAATTAAATAATTAAATTTTTTTCTTAACTTACCATTTAGCTTAAACAAGTTTTGTTTAATCATTTATTCTTTAACACAATGGAAATTATGTTTATTATTATCATTGTTCTTATCATTATTATCATTATTATTATTATGATTATTATTATTACTATTATTATCATTATTATTATTATTATCATTATTATTATTATTATTATTATTAATATTACTATTATTATTATTATTATTATCACTATTCTTATCATTATTATCATAATTATTATCATTATTATTATAATTATGATTATTATTATTACTATTATTATCATTATTATTATTATCATCATTATTATTATTATTATCATTATTCTTATCATTATTATCATAATTATTATTATTATTATTATTATTATGATTATTATTATTATTATTATTATTATTATACAGAACAGAGAAATTATTTTATTTTGACATGTAAAGAGTACATAATCGAAACAAAATGATACAAAATATGAATAAATACATCTCATCATATCGTTTAAGTATAATCTATGATTGCATATTTTTGTCTGAAAAGTGATGAGCCATATCTACACTATAAACTACTTATTAGGATTTTCTATATTATTTTCTAACAGAAATGGGTAGATTTTACCAAGATCCCGTAAAGTTGTAACATCATTTTCATATAATGTTAAAAATCCACAATATCTGAGAATCATTTGCCAAAAAAAAAAATGAACATTCTGTTATGCTTTTCTTTGCTGTGTCTTTGTACATATTGTTGTTTAAACAGCCATACTATCTTGATGTTGAAATAATAATGTATACATTAACCAGTAATTTGTCTTCTGGTAATTTAGAAAAAACTCAAAAAATCGGATGCCACACTTAGCCTTAGCTATTAGAACAACTGATTCGCACTATGCTTGCTCTGCTGCCCTTGAGCCCTCCTTTTCTTTTTTTGTCTACTATGAGTGTTACCGATCATTTTATATGTCTGAGATTTGGTTGTTGCTGTTAACATACCTACTTTTTACAATATTTATTTTTATTTTAAAAAAAAGTAAACATTATCGCGGGGCATTTTTCTTTTCAAACTTGTTTCTTTCACAATTTTGTGTTTGTAAAACCTTCATGCAATTAAATAATATATTTCTACTGGCTTTAAAATTCATTTCTAAATTTGAAAATCTAATTCAATAAAGGCAGAACTGCTCTTTATCGTAAAAAAGTTATGTGTCAAAAATTTAAACACTAACCTAATTTTCGTATCGAATGATAAGCAGATTGGCATTTGTTTTGAATTAAAACAATTTTGAGTAGTGCCACAGGAACTCGAATTTCAGAATTTGCATCGATCATGTACAACAGTTGATTATTTAAAGATGTGTAGAAACTAAAAAAAATACAATGAACACGTCAATATAATGACGATCGTATGGGGTTTTTTTTATTTCTAGAAACATTTGGTTTTGTTTGTTTTCTTGATGCTGCAATGTAACAAGATAAGATCACGGTAAGTTTTTGTTGATTAATACACTTTTCTCACGCATTGTACAAAGACAATTTCATTGAATTTGCTCGTGAAACAAAATTTCATCAATATTGGAATCAATTTGTTTGTCCACAGTCCCATTCTTTTCAAACTAATTCATTTTATATAAAGTTTAATTTAAATCCGGGTGTACACATTTCATTTTCATTTCTGTACCGTATTTATTTTTCGTCTTCTAATAAAATTAATATATTTTAAAATAGCAACATTTTTATTTAAGTAAAATGTTTCTTAACACCTGTTGTCAATATTTGCTTATAATTATGTCAATAAGATTTATGAGCATGAAATGGTTCGTTTTAAATTCGATGGTCCTTAATGTACACACCAACCGTATGGCGCTCCACATATGCGTTGTCAAATATAAGTTATGTTAATTTTGTCGTGTTTTGAATTGATGGGATCTTGATTTGGCGGCAATATCTTTAGACCGCATAAACTTAAACTAATAGTCTAGTTATAAATTTTTAGAAAAACACCTGTTGTTATTGTTGTTGTTGTTGTAGCACTATGTTATCCTGCATAACGATTTATGCCGTGTCCTATTTTAACCACTGCATGATAATCAAATAATAATAAAACATTTAACATTCAGTATAATGGTTTCAGTTCAATAGTTCTATGAAACTACAGGTAAAATGTTCGGTAAACGTTCGAGGTCAATAGCATCTTTATTATTGATTATTTTCAATCAACAATCACATTTAACATAAACAAAACATCAATAAGAAATAATTATTCTACTTCCATTAGTATTTTAATGATATTACAATAAGGAATTATTAAACTAGACTAGTTCAAAGCTTGCTCATTGTGTGGACACTTTCATTTAATTTGACTTTTTTAATATTGATGTTACATTCCAATTATTGTGTATTGTTTACTAAGTTCCCTTCTTTAATCATTTCATCATAGGCGAACAAAAATAAAACCTGTTTTTACAGCAACTTTAAAGATTTAAATATAAAGAAACTTAAGTTTTTCTTTCTACAATTTATTCAATATTTTGCAATTTTGTCCAAACATTATGAATATCATATATTGTATTGTAGTGTTTGTGAAAACATGTTATTTATAATGGATGTAACATAAACAAACATTTGTGTCAAAACAGACCATATGTTCAAACCCATACACTCAATATCAAATACCTTAACAAAGATGAGATAAGCAAATGTGTACAATTATACATAACATAGATGTCTTATTTGTCTATCTTTGTGAATTAATTAACATTTCAATGACTCCTAAAGTTTAATAAAAAAAATTAAATCATCTTCAAAACTCTTAGTTATTTCACCGCAAAAAACATAATAAAAATCTGGAAACAAAGTGAACCCTCGGAAGCATTAATCACAACAAAATTACATGAAAATTGCAGACTCGGTTTAATCGAGTCTGTACATGAGGGATAATAAATAAGTGCAACATCCCTCACGCCCCCTAGCACCGGCTTGAGCGGTACTTAATTTTCAACTCTTAATAGTGTTTTCCTCCTTGCTCAGTTGCATTGCTATATGTGACTGAATGTCATTCTATATACAAGAAATAGTGGTGCTTGACATTAACATACACATGAACTTTACATTTTTCATAAGAGCAAGATGTTTTGAAACATGGATAAAAAGCCAATTTAGCAGGTGTTAAAATTATGTCTTAGCTCAATAAACGTTATAAAATGGACTTTTTACATACTTTTTAGATTTAAATAGAACAGTATAAAAAAGAAATAATGGTCGTTTCTTTGTGGTAATAGCAGAATACTTTTTAGTAATTTTGTTACAAATATCACATGTTTATCATCAAATAAATACTGACCGTTCCCTCCGGGAAATATTGTACTTTATTATTTGGAAAAGGTTAACGACAGCTATTTAATTATCATTCTTTGGTGAATAGTAATAAAATCTGTAAATATTTCTTTTGACAGTTGTGTACATGCTTTTAAAGCAGAACGTGCGATAACGTCATAAAAATTGAAACTCAAAAAGAGGCAAGCATGAAATTGCTTCTTTATAATCACATTTAATTACATCTACTAAACCACCAATTTGAAAACAAATTCAAAGACAATGAATATTATTATATTATACGTATAAAATATACAGAAACAGGGATCAAATAGTAACATGAATAATAAACATAGGTGGTTAAATCATCACAAAACAGTGCATTGCATTCAATCTGGACACTATTTACAATTGAACGATATTCAAATTCAACACATTTCACATTTGTGCCAATCAGAAATATCATATCATCCACTGCACATATAATCTATTGCATACATTCTCATTTGTGTATTTTCACAAAGTAAAGTGGTTAGATATGCTCCATAGATTTTGGCCTAAGCGATCATATATTTTTCACGACGCAAAGCTTTTATCTGTAAAGGATGAAAACCAGATAAATCAAAACTATACCTCCCCGTTTCATTGCCTCAAACATCACATTCTCATCTGACATAACATATCAAACCTTCCGCAAATGATTCATGACCGTCTCTGTCCCGTTCGTCATATAAAACTGCTCTCCGTTCACAAGTCCAGACAAAGTCACAACTTTCTAAACCCATCAATTGTGTCAGTTCGTTCTCGGAAATATTAGTTTTCTCAAAATATACGATTTTGTCTGTGTCACGTAACAGATGAATTAGCGCACGCATGGTTGTTTTCCCATTTATTGGTATTGACACAATTTTCACCAATACTCAACGTTCTTGACAATACAACTGTTGTTTCATCTACATGGTCCTCCAGTGATGTAGTCACATGATTATGATTGCTTTGAATTTCCGGTTCCCTTGGTGCAAAGAGCTTTCTCTAGAGAAATACAAATGAATGAACATTTGGTTGTATCACGTTGTTAAGAATATCATTAACATGGTTTCTCCAGCGAATAGTTGTTCATGTATATTTTGAATAAGGCATTAAATGTAACATGATACAAAACCGTTTTGTAAACCCGTTGGGGGGAGATAAAATTAACAAATTCCAAAAAAGTGCTTATTCTTGAATTGTATTACGTATTGTAGGATTTGTATTGTATAAAAAAGGAATATATCAACATTTTGGACAAAAACACCTCAGTTTTGTTTAATATATCAAACTAAGATATATTCATGTATATTGTGAATAAGGCATCAACTGTAATATGATTCAAAACCGTTTTGAAAACCCGTTGGGGAAGACAAAATTGCCACGTACCAGGGAAAGGCTTATTTGAGGATTCTCTATTTTATATAAAAAGAAGACATTTATCAAATTGGTAAAAAATACTCATTATTGTTCAATGTATTATACGTTCAAGTATTCCCATTATACACCACATAAATTAAGATTAACAGGACCCTTGACCTAAACGTCCGTCGATTTCTCTATAATAATAACAAGTATCAGAAGGTTTGCCATATTTTCTTTAAACTCAATTATTAGAAATTAAGATTTGTAAAACATAAAACAGCATGATTTAAGAAAAGACAATACAAAATACTTAGTAACATATGCAGAATTGAATACGCTGCGTAACCTATGCAAAATTGACCGCTGCTCAGATTTTAAATAAGCGTGCCTCCAGATGCATGCTAATTTTCATGAATATTTGGAAAATGTATTTAATAGTAAAATATTGTGAAGTGAACAAAGAAAGTTATTTACACATTGCAAACGGCAGTTACAATCCACGTTTATTACCAAAAAGAGGTAAATATACATAAATATCTCTTACTGCGTTAGTAACGCAGTAGAATTATAGTGATTGATACTGCAAAATCAGTCATTATTCGCACATAGCATGTAAATAATCAATTAAATATTGAATTTGTTTTCTTTTGTTAGGATCTGAATACATTTTTCAAACGTTTGAATTTCTTGAAATATTTTGGCTCATCTGGAGGCGGGCAGCGTTAAAACTGTTACAGTATTGTATACACTCAAATAGAAACATTTCTCTTTGAAACTTACCAAACAACAGTATAATTCAAACTTTAAAACAATCCGACAAAACATGCTTATACATTTGTATGACTTATTAATCATTGACTAGCGTATACGAACTATGAAACTGATATTATAAACTAATTATAAAGCCAATCAAGAGGGATGTTATACTTACACATAATTTGCAGTGTTTATGTACAATATACTGTATAACACAGACAACAGCCGACAGGATTATTCCACCAAGAAGAACTATAAACATCCCTGAGGCAACTTCTATCTCAATTTCTTTGCTTTTGGCATTTGATCTTGGATCAGGGCAATTTGGGCGTCTCCACCACCTAGAGAAACATTTATCAACAAAACTTAATAAGAAAACACATGCCATATATTGCAGTTTCTTACCGACAGCTGTCCATCAAATACAATAATAACGTTAGTAAATAACTTCAGTGAAAATATATTTCATAATCAAAGTCTAGTCTCACTAAATGTCTAAATACCTAGGTATTAAGCATTTATACTGATATTGTTTCAAAAACATTAGGCGTCAAGAGATAATTGTATTTGGATGAAGCAGCTACGAAAACAAAGTTACTACTTACTTTCCCTCGAGCCTGTACAGAATTCCATTATCATTTAGTGCTAAAACCGCCATTGATAACGGTTCGGAATACTTTGAATGTTTTTGTGTTGCTATTCCATATCCTTTTAAATCAAACGGTGTTCCAATTTCCATTAAATCACAATTATTAGCAGTTTCGTGTCTCACAGTCGGAGAGTCCCAGATGAATGCATATTTTTCCTTCATTGCACGTGCAAACCCGTGCTCGACCCGTTTCACTTTGGAGTCAGGATTATACACTATCATGTATGCACGCATTTGTTCATAATGACTAATTCGAGTATTGTTGAAGAATGATTCTATCTGACCATCTTCAACTGTACCATAATTATATTCGTCTTGATTTGCTAAATCTGCTGCTGAACTTATGGGTATATGTGCATTTGATATGGTTAAAAATGCAGCTAGATTAGCAGTGTATATTGATATAATGATTAAACTAAAGAACCACCAAGTAGCACTGATTATTCTACCACTCATTGCTAAAGGAGAGCCTGACAAGTCTGCTCTCAAGAGTGTCCCCCATACATACCAAAAACTCATTTTTAAGTCATCTCTGAAATCGGTCTTATCGTCATTTGTTATTCTTGTCACAACAAAGAGAAACAATCCAACGAATATAAATGAAAGAAATATGGCAATCCAAACTATCTTTGACAAAGGTGATAAAAACTGAAAAGGCCAAACACTCCTCTCTGGTTTTCTGACAACAACACTTGTTCCTTTCGTCATAAACGGCTTTGTGAAATCAACAACAGCGCTCCGATCGGGTGTTATACTGAATGGTGCCAAAGCAACATCAGCTTTCTGTTGATGAATAAAATGACTTCATTTAATAACATTTTTTATGTAACATCATGTTGTAAACTGAAAAATCATTCAATTTGTCAAATCATTTTTTTTTCTCTTTTGTAATTTTAAATTAATACCACTTGTTTCTTATTCAGATAGTACTTTATCTTAATCAGTTTCTTTTTTTATTGACTTAAATGAATATGTTATGATATATAAGGCGACAAAATGTTCGAGCAATCGTTGTCCGTTATAGAATTGCAACAGAAAAATCGGAGCTAGTTTAAAACATTACTTACATCATCCAGCAAGTGTCTGATCATGCCTGTCCAATATCTTGGTGGGGGTTTTAAACTGCCGAATTTACGGTCTGGAACGACTGACAAATTGTATTGAAAGTTCAGCATTTTAGCAATTTCATCAATAATGTCTTTACAGAATCCTTCAAATTTGTCGTTTCCCATTGTCAAACCTTCCTCTGGTGTTTTATTTTTCCATTGAATAAACGGTGGTTCCTTCAATTAGAGATACAACGAAAAAAATAAACAAATCTGATAATGTGCATGAAAGTATTCACATGCAAAGTTCCCTCTTGAACAACAGCAGTTCATTGACAACATGAGGGTATTGTCAAAATAAAACACAAGTTAATATCCTGCCAAGTTGTCGATTTCAAACAATTGCCAAGAGCATATCAATCAAACTGAGTATGCCTAAAATGATTTTTAAATGATCTAATAAAACAGCAATCAAAATTATATTTCTTTAGAAAGGAGGTCCATTTCTGCTGAATATTCTAGTCAAAGTATATTGATCGAGAGCGATGAAATTCGAAAACAGTTTGATGAGTTTGCAGAATATGCTTTTCTTGAATTGTTAATGAGAGATAATTAAACATTTTACACTTCTCGTTCCCTTAAGCCGGCCGAAAACTATGCTATATACGTACGATGAGCGTTGTTACTCTAAGTATCCTGTCTGCGAAGATATTGTTGTTTTGCGAAAGCATTGTACTGTAGGAGCGTGATGGCTGTACTCGTTTTTCTGTTGATTTTCCCCCACTGTACCAAGTCCCTGACTGAAAAAATACATAATAGTATTATAAAATGTATGTGATTTTGTATCAAATAAAATTCAGAATAATAATTTAGAAAGCCATTTTGTTTAAATATGAATTTCAAAAATAAAGATTAGGTTCAATCTCAAGTATTTCTTTATTGAACGTTATAAAACAGAAAAGAAATACACTGTACGTCTTTATTCTAACCCGTGTAGATTCCTAAAAACAACGTTGGTCCTTTATACTATTCCTTCCAAAAATGTACACCAAATTTCAATTCTGCAATTATAGCGGGACGTCTTGCTGCTAAGCGGTCGCCAATATCAAATTCAGGCTCAACATAAGTCCCATCAAGGAAATCTTATTTTTTAAGAGCATAAGATTATTTACAGTTTTCATTATAAGTAAAACTTTTTCAAAATAATGATGGTAACTTTTTATTTTATAAATTGCATTAAAATGTGGAAAGAAAACAATCTTGATACTTCACGTCTACGGAAATTTGGGAAATCAATAATGGGTGCACGAAAAAAGAATTGAAAAACAAACAAACAAACAGTAAACACTTACACCAAACGGAACGGAACCATAGACTAAAACAAAACAATAAGCATGTAGTGTGCTAGAGTAGAGTCGATGTCTGAATGTTAAGCAGGTAATGTATCTAATGGCAAATACAGACAGTTGTATTATTAGAGAAAAAAGGCTGCAACAGTTGTTAAATATTATGAAAAGACATTTATGACATTTTGAAACTGCTTCAAACACGAGCTTTGCGAATAAGTTAAATCTATTAAAGATAATTAATACTGAGTTGAAGAAAGATGATTATTATATTACGCAGATCAGCAGGCTGTCGTTGGACACAATCACAAAACAGTTCTAGACATCAAATTGTACAGAAAACATAAACATTTCTGTTCTCCAAATGCTGTTAAACGCATAGAAATTGTCTTTTGTTAAGATGTTAAGATAATACGGGTATATCAACAGGTACCAGATGTGATAAGAAATAACAAAAATATCCTAATTCTACAATGATTTATTTGCGATAATCGATATTATAATAATTTGCATTATAATTATGAAGACCAAAGCCAAAAGGCAATATTTACCGCTAATACTCCTATATTACTTAAAACGTACATTATTGTATTACAATAGCAAATAGTACCTTCACAATAAGATTTGTTTTCATAGGAATGAATTCCATCATACATTTTAACGTCAATGCTCCAAAATCATAGTTAGATTTGAAAACATTGAAAACAAGCCATTACCGATCTGTATTTCTATGCATCGACAGACTGGAGAATAGAATATTTAAATACCAGCAACAATACGTTCACAAAGATATAATCAAAAATACGTTCACAAAGATACCACCAAAATACGTTCACAAATATACCAGCAGGCTACAGCACATATAAGTAGGACATGAACATGTCTTAAAACATCATAATGATATGCATGGTATATATACATTGATATATATACATTCCATTAAGTTACCAGTTTCACAAGCCAAGGTCTAAAATCATCGTCCCAGTGGGACTTTGTCTCCCACAACGCGTTGAATCCCTTAATACAAATACAGAGTGACAGAAAACATTGTTAATATAAATACAGAGAGAAACAACATGATATTTAGACACAAATAAGAAGTTACTAAAAGCCAATGGTTTAGATGACTTTACATGTAAGAAGATTGAACATATAAATAGTATTATTGAGTGACGGGGATAAGGAATATAACAAGAAGGAATAAAATGCATCAGTTAAATAATTTTACGATAAGTTAATATAAGTTATAATTCAAAATATAACCAATTAGTCTAATTAAATCATTCAACGATACATTTATAGATTGACAAACATTCAATAAATGTGCTCAAAAATATAATTTGCACGATAAGTAAATAGATTGAAATATAACCAAAAGGTGTGTGATTTAATGGTAAATAGATAGATTGAGAAAAAAATCAAGTGTTATTGTGATAACATTAATATGTTTAAAAATATAAAACAAAATATCAAAATTGTAGTTAAAAAAATTTAATAGTAAGATATAAGATTTTTTATAAAACAAATCAATATGACTGTGTAAATAAATTATTATTCGAAAGGTCAATGGTATAATACAACTAAAACAAGTAGAGTAAGTTGTAAGGCTCATATACCCATACAGGTAACAAAACGACTAGTAATTTATTTTGCCATCGTGTATAAACTGTATATTATACAATTGTTTGTTTATTTGTTATATTATACAATTGTTTGTTTATTTGTATATAGATATTCACAAAATACAAGTTGATAGATAAGACGTATCTTAAATCTTCACTTGATTTATTGGAAAGGAAATTCGTACTCAAATCTTGAAGATGTGAACCACTAATTACTAGTTTCTTTCCGATATTGAGTTTTTTTCGCTCTGACTGTCAAAAACTTAATAATAAAACACAAATAAAAGTAAGCATACTTCTATTAGAAGCAAAATCATAAGAGAACAGAAGTCATACTCATTTAAGGTACATGATAACCGAACTGTATGATATTTAAAAAAAAATGCATATCGAATATGGGCGTTTAATATTACGGGTATATCGCCTTACATCTTGCGTCAAAAAATATGCAAGTCTGAAAATAATCTCTGAAGCATGTAAACACTATATGTTGCGTTTGGTAGAAGTGTTTAAAAGAATATAGACAACAAGATGTGGCTTTCCTTAATTCATGAAATGTACAAAAGAAAATTTTGCAAAAGTAGAACAATCTTTGATTTTCATAAAACAGTTAAACTAACGCATGTCCAAGTAAAACGTACTGTTTTAAAATTAACAATACGTACCAAATTCTTCGCTTCATCCTGTTATTAAACCGTTTTAGTTATTTCTTATTTCCTTACATAAAACATATTTTATTACATTTATTATTATTGTAAATATTTAGCTGTACTTCTTCTGTAAATTTGTGTTCATATATTACTTTTTATTAAGAAACTTCTGTAAATAAAATTAACTAATGCATTTTAATCAAATTACCAGAGTCATTACTGCTCTCTGTAAAAAATGGGAAACATTGCGTAACTTAGATATATTCGTTATTATGTGACATATATGTTTTATTCAAGAGGTAATAAACTGTATCTAATCAATCAAGACACTGTGTAATAAATTGCTATAATCATCAAATACGGCGATCCATTTCTAGGAAACATTTTGTTATTAAAGGAGTGTTTCTGAGTCTACATTTCGGAGAATAAAAAGGCTATTTAATCAAATATTGTTATGTATACGAATTTCGCATGTATGTCTGAGTCGGTGTATTGAGGTGAATCACTGCCACCGATATGATCCGATTTATTATGAATATCAGACAAGCTGGGCTTTTTCGTCACTTAAATTGTTTCCTAGAAAATTTACAAATTACAACATACTGGGATAAAAATTTGTGAAATTGTTACATCAACCTTTAAGTATTAAAGAGGACTTTTACAGAAAAGATAAAGCACATAATTTTAGAGATTTTATATTGTTCGGCAATACAATTTTGATAAAGTTTTTTGAAAAAGTTTAAACGTCTTTCATTACAACTTCAACACAACGATTACAACCACAGTGTTTGTTACAATAACGTGACTGTTTCGACAACATACATTAAACAGATCCAAAGATTACATTATAAACTTTTTTTCAAACTGATATAATGGGATGGTATACAATATATCCCCAGTTGTATTTCAATTTTGAAATAGTTTCAAGAATTCGTGCTGTATACATAGATATTTCTGCATTCTTTAAGTTTTAACATTAGTCAAAAAGAGTGTTACAAGGATTGTATTTAGTACAAATTATAGAATATTGAAAAAAAAACTACGATAGAAATTTCAAGTATTTATCTTCAGTTTCATTTTTAGATAAAAAAAAGCTTTTGATCAAAATGTTATTTGTATTATATATATACTAATACGGAAAATAGTATAAATGCATTTAAACCACCATAAACAAGATGTTTCCGGCCACCGATGTTGATGTTTTCTTGCCAATATCATTCATATTTACACGGGATGATAATAGTGAAGCGTATTCTACAAAAGCGTACAATATTGCATTATTTTGCTGTAGTTTTAAACATGTGACCTTATGCTTTCAATGCTTCTAAAGGCAAAGAAGTTTACAGCAAATTACTGGTCTTCTTGTGTCATTTATGAAGCATGGCCTATTGTCTAAAGACATTAAAATCACAACATCGTCTGAAAATTTGAAGAAAGGTAAACATTGTGCTGTAACTTACCGCTCCATCGACGAGCCCCTCAAGAGCAATCATTTGTAAATAGGTTTCGTTGCGTTTTCCTTGTCTGGTAAAGTTAAGCGGACCTGTACAACCATTTATATCTATCTGCTTGCGAAGTAAGATTAGACATTCATAAGTTCATAAGAATAAAAATAAGACTTGAACAATACTTTAAAGATATATTATGCTCAAATTTGATATTTGGAAATACTGATAATTGCTACAGTCTCTTTTAAAATGTAAAAGTCTTTGTGTACGTACTCGTACATATTATTATTTTATTATCTTCACACTGTAGGTAAACACAGTAAGACTACATAGTGTCATTAAAAAAACGTGCAGTTTTGTTGATGTTGCTGTTGTTGTTTCAAAGAAAGGGTTAAATTATCTTGACCAATAATACGAATGTAACTTCCCAAATTAGTTTATGCATTCTCTTGTTTAAGTAAGGTAGACTCACTTATAATTTTCTAGATTTCAATAAATGCCTGCAATAAAAGTATGTTACCGAAAGATGATACATTTTTTGAAGTATCGATTTTGTATTTTCTATACGTCATGATGAAATTAACTTGCACATAGTTTTAACATTTGTACTTACTTTGACATTGTATAATGATACTTTCTTTAGCAATAAAATAAATACTATTTTCTGTCATTTGGTTATTAGATCAGCTTTGTAGCTTCTTGATATCGAATATTATCTTGAAATATTTTGTCATATTTGTTTAAATATTCATTAAAATGGTTTACCGTTTTAACCTGTCGGCGAAGATCTGAGCGGGATATTTTATCTTTTTCATCGTCAGGTGTTTTTACATCATAAGTTCCATTAATTATTCTAAACACATCATAGTAAAGAGCTTTAGTAAGGCTAATTTCGCTGTCTGGCAAGGCACAGTGGGGTGTTTGGGGATCTACCATAAGGCGAAGAAGTGTTAGATTTGCCCTGGAATCTATATATTGCGACATTTCTATATCACCAGAACCCTAAAATAGCAAGAAAACATATCTATTTAAATCAAGGAAGTGAAAAACAAAGTGAAAATGACATACAGTGACACAAGAGCAGTCTCACAAATGTTTCTTTTCAGTGTAACTGCTTTCATCAACCCTTATTTAACAAATAAATTGATATGTTATGTAAGCAAAAAGATAAAAAAAAAATTATATTCACAGTTATCATCAATGATTATCTTTGTTTCTCCTCCCATGACCAATGCCAGTTTGGAGATCGGATAGATAAGTAGGTATAATATATTTAAGTTTACATAAAATATTTTTTCTACGTAAATTATGTGGATTTAAAGCAAATTATGAATTGTTAGTATTGTATTTGTTTAAAGTTCAGAAACAAAGTTTAAATTTTCTATTGAACACCTATCCCAGTTTGTATATTTACAATTCAAAAAACATGAAAAACATCAGACATATATAACGATTCCCATGGCCAGATTCCATTTTAGTAAATAAATGACAATAAATAAGTAGCATTTCTGTTTGGCAATATAATTGGTTGGCAACCTGTGATTTTTGTGGGTAGGTAGCGGTAGTTTTCAATAAGGGCTCTTGCGAATTGCATTAATAATGTATATTAAAGTTTATTGCGTTCTTACAAACTTACCAGGGTAACAATAAGCCAGCTGTTTGGACGGGAAAGTAGGCTCAGGTATAATGCCTGAAACAAAAACATCAGTATTTACTGTCACATACTTATTATTATAAAATATCTGTAAAAATATGTAAAATGAAATTGAAGGAATGTTTTACACGAAATGATATTTGTTTCGTTATAAAATGCGTTATAAGGAAACTAACTTTTATCTATCTAGAAAAGTTGTTGCTCATTTTTACTGATAAACCAGGTGCAATATTTTGAAATAGTTTAATTTTCTCTATGTGTGTATTTGGCTTGTTTGACCTCTCCCGTTAATGAACAAGAGCTTAATCTACAATACACAGTATATTACAATGTAAGCCTTTGAGTGTGCAGTAATTCCCTTATCAGTATCGTCTCTGTGCACGTACATTGATTTAGTTATAAGATGTGGGAAATCACATGCTATGTAAAATAGACGTTGTTTAAAATTTCTCAACACAAATAAAGACTGACAGGCATACATTTACAAAGTCACAATTCTTTATGAAAGACCGATTTAAATAAATTGTTCTCATTTAGACATGTACATACAAAATATTAAGTGTGAACCATTTTTATAAAAGAAGGCATGTCAGGACGGCCTTTCACATTTTCATTTTATTACTTGATGTTGGAATACTTAAAATAAATAAATAACTAGAAAGCCACAAAATAGATTGACTTTAATAACTTTGATAACAGCTTTAATAAAATAGCAAACCCTCCTATGTAACCAATCGCGATTGAATTTAAGTGTGAGACTGTCACTGTTAACAATTACAATTGATAAGACATTAAACTCGATATCTTGGATTGTGCTTTATTACATGACTGCGAGCCAATATCAGAGCGCATCACATTCCTTTAACTAATTTAATTTTCAAAAACAACTTTATTATCATTGAAGTTTACTTCTTGTATTAAACATGTTATTAAATAAATTCTTGAATTAAATTATCTTTTTAAGTAAAATTTACAACGAAGTGACGTCAAATCAAAGTTTTTATTTCTTGAATAAAACTTTGAATAAACAAACGGTGGAAGCACTGTTAGAATAATTTTAGTTTCAAAGTAGCGCCATATTCAGAGTAGTTACTCCAATTGTAGGTAATAAATAGAAATGAAGGGGTATAGTGAGGAAACAACTATTTGTCTTGCATAATAAATGTAAGGAAATAAGGGGTCGATATGAAACATATAAGTTAGATATATATATATATAATTTTGAAAAAAGAATCAAATTGCATGACATCAAACAATTTTAATACGTGAATTATTTTATCTAAAACGGATACACTATATCATTTTGAGAATAGTCTAATCTATGTTCCAGATAAAAACGTGAAGAAATAAATAATTATTTTCAAGATAATTATTTAAGCATAATTTTTCTAGTATATTGCATTCAAAATTGGTAAATGTCCTATCAAAATAATTGAGAATGATATCTCCCCACCTCCAACTATATCTTTAACATTGTTTTATAAATGTGTTTCAACAATGTTTATCATAATCAAGCAAAGTTTAAAGAAATATGTGAACTAGCTGTCCGTCTTTGCCGTGTAGAAATTGCGGAGCAATATAGGAGGTGAAATATGTTAATGATTGTATCACCTAAACTATCTTCTTGGAAACCATTTAACACCATTTAATAAATTGCAATAGCAAACAATTCTAATACAAACAACATACCTGAGTCAAAACAATATCAGCAACTTCAGGTGAGCATATAATAAGAAAATTTGTAACAAGTTTTCTCCTAAGGTCCTTAAGGGCCCATCGGACAACTTCTGCAGAAGAGTTAAGTTGGACGTCATAAGCTCGTATGTCATACAAGTCGCTTTTACCATTCAAATGTTCCATCATTAACGCAGCCAGCGATGCGCCTACAAGAGCAAAAGAACATCGCACAATAAATCGCTTAGAGATAAAACGTATATTATACTGAAATTTCATATTTGAAAATATTGATAATTACAGTCTCTTTGAATAATCACACAAAGATGATATGTTTTGTGTCAAATTCTATACACTATACATACTATAGTAGACACAATATAAATAAAGAGCTATTGAAAATATGGAAGATTTTTTGTTTCAGAGAATACCAACTTCACGGAATAGGGAATACAGATTCCCATATTAGTTTGTTCATTTTTTTACTCAAATTTTCACATGCTGTAAGATTTTCAAAGATTTTAATAAATTTCTGTGATAGAAGATAAGTAAAGTTTTTATATATTTAAAAGATAGTTGTTATGTTCTTATTTGTCAAAAAAATACCATGATTTGAACAGGCTCAATCAAACCGAGCCTGCAACATTTTAAATATTGCCGTGTTGGGCTTTCTTTAGGGATTCTATTTTTCTCTATTTATAGTCTATTTATTTTGTAAGCAAAGTTTGAGTCTGAAGAGTAAAAACCTGTATCAATATTATCAATTGCTATAATTATATAAATATTTCTATGGGTAACTGAACAATTCCATGGTGTCAGTACTCCAGTAACTTAATTTACTTACCATTTTCAGTATTATATAGAACACCGGCATTTTTCCAGCGGTAGTGCTCAAATAAGTCTCGTATTGCTCTCGTATACATTTGTAAATCTGGAATCATTTGTATATGAAAAGGGGATGGAATCTCATCACGTGGTACAGATGACGTAATGAAGTAAGGGATTCGAAGGTGGTCAGTTAAACTTGAATATAAACGATTGTATTGGCCAACAACTGCAACTAGATTAGCTCTTCTTGTCGTATTTATTTCTACAAATAAACAAAAATTATTAATTAAATTATGCCAATATAATTATATATATATATAGGCCATGTTATTTTCATAAGAAAGCTTAATTGTCTTTATAACTATCTACAATTTCACTTCATTTTATTTTCTAGACATATAGTTTCTTTCATTTCCCTTAAGACTAGGTTAACAAGGTTTCGCTTTTTAGCAACGTTATTTTCCAATCTGTTTTACATTATTTATCAGTCTGTGTATTTAAGGCGTACATTAACCCCGGCAAAAATGAGATTCCTTCCAGTCGCTTGTAGCATGATTAGTTATGATTACATTCTAAAAAAGTTATCAATCCGTTAAATATCTGATTATATATACGTGTATATATCTTTATTATATCATTATATGTACTACAAAGGACCACGAAACCCCACAATCTATTCGGATTTTTTTATTAAGCAGCACACCTCCAGATTCATGCTAATTTTCATGAAAATTTGAAAATGTATTTAACAGTATAATATTGTAAAGTTACCAAAGGAATTCAATTTACACATTATCGATGGCACTTACAACCTATGTAAATCACTATAAAGAGGTCAAACTATACAAAAATAGCCCTTACTGCGTTAGTAACGCAGTAGAAGTGTAGTTATACATACTGCAAAGTTCGGTCATTAATCGCACAAAACATTTAAATTTTTACTAGAATTTTGAATCTTTATACCTTTCCTAAAATCTTAGTGCCTTTTTCTCAGGTTTGATTTTATCGAAATAGTGTTGCTCATCTGAAGGCTAACACAATGATTATATTGGAATTTATTACCATGTCTAAATCTGTTCGCACATGATACACAGGCTATGCTTTTCTTCAACACGGTCATTGTTTGACATGATCATGGATACTTCCATTATATAGTAATTGCTCAAAACATAACTTTTTTCCAACCTTTTCCTGCTTTTAATTCGGTCTCAATTATAACACATCAATTTAATATGATACCTTATTTTCCCCACCATATTAATTACAAACAAACTCTCTATAAAGTATGCAGCGTGCTTGTGCCGGCGATGTTCGTTGAGACATTGTAAAAAGTCATCGATAAAATATTTAATAGAAAAGCTATTTTATACTGCCGGCAGGTGCAACCAAACAAGATAAAGCTTTCAGGATAAGAGCAAATATCTGTGTAGGAGATGAATGAAGTAATCACACGCGATATTTTCCGAAATTCAACATTGTGCATGGTGTTTTATGCAATTCAAAGACAAAACGCTGAGCGTTCCAAAACAAAAAGATTTTGATGGTTTTAAAAGCTAATGTCAGCTTTAAAATATTAATTACAAAAGTACTGTTTTGATAACATATAAAGTAATAACGGGTATTCTGTGAATACTTCCAATTGTATGCATTATCAAATACACGTATAATTACAATGGGTTGAAATTATGAAATTTTAATAATGCCTGCTTCGATTATAATGCCTATGTTAGAGACATGTATTTCTTTCATTTATCACTTCACAATATTGTACATTTAAATACATTTTTCAAAATTTCATGGAAATTACAATGAATCTTGAGCCATGATGTTTTAAAGGTAAAACAAAAATACATCATTAAGCAAATATAAATCCTATTTTAAACAGTAATTCTATTTGTGTTTGTATTTATTCAAAAATGTTAAAACACGGAACAACTTAATATATGATGAGATATTGCTAACTTTTTTGACTGTCATATCAAATCTGAAATCATAAGTGTGTTTGGTAAATATTAAACATGTGTGTCATTTAACATGTTGTAACACTCAAAGCTCAACCTTTGTAAATTAAAGCTGCTGTCAAATAATAATAATTCAAGTAATTTGTTTGAAACATGATATGAGAATTATGCGTAGCCATTCAATGTATCATATTGCAATATACATATCGTCTCTTATTGTAATGTCTGATCATGTTTAAGAACGTCGTTAAAATGACAATTTAGAATATTAACGAAATGTCGCAGGCAAAATATAAAATAATGCTCAAGTTCAACTCGATATTTTCTAAATTTCCTGTGAATCTGCAATGACCATTCTTATGTTCCAAACAAATTAACACACAAACATTTTCCAAACTCCACAATAATTATAATTATTGTAGGATATCTGACAGAAACAGTTCTTAACAACTTCATAAACTACATTAAACAAAGAAAGCAAGATGTCATTATAGGAAAATAATGAATGCACCCGTTGACATATTGATAATTGAGGGTGCCATAAATATGCTGGATTGACAAATTGCTGTTTTCCTCGATTCTTAACAATGAGAAAATTTGGAAAGAAAACTCAGGAAGGTCAAACAGAGTCTATGCAGTGTTTTTGCGAAAACAGATAACCTAGGTTACAAACATTTCGTATTGAACTCATCCGTACCACAAAGAGGACATGTATCACGTGACAATGACTCTGTAAAAATAATAAATTATTCACTTGTTCTTATCAAGCTGGACAATTGACAAAATTGTAAAAATAACGTCAAAACGTTAACGTGTTCTTTGACGTTAAAAAATAAAAAAGAGATTTACCCTTTAAGTGTTAAAGATAAATATGAACAAGTAATGATAAGCAAATATCAGAATTTTTTTATGTTTTGAGATGAATATCTTTTAGAATTCAATATGTCAATCTAAATATAGTAAAAAAAGTGTTTTTTTCTCATGCAGGCGGTCAAATAATAACAACTAACCTTTTTCTATATCGAGTGAAGTAAACGTATATTTTTCAAACAAGGAGTATGTTTCAATGTGTGTGGAACCATTTATTCTACCATACTGCTGAAGAATGTCAATCCAGGATTGGTACGAAGAATTCAGAACTCCTGAAACAGATTAAAGTTAGGATTTTAATATTACATTTAGGATTAACAAATTTAAGACGAATGTAGTTACCCTTTATCTAAACATGAATAAATAATAAAGCAGTTAAACGAAAACAATTGAAAACAAAATTATTAAACAGGATACAATAACACTTGATGCTATGTGTATCACTTTTCTTGACTTTATATGTATGAAATTTTCGGGGGTACATTGTTGTTTTGGAATTACTCATGAAAGGTGCTATACGTTGAAGTGGCATTATGCCCATCAATGTGTAAATATTGAGTGCACAGGTAAAAATCAAAATGACTCCATATTTTGCGTTAATTGTGATCATTTTTGTAATAAATTAATATGCAAAAATAATCGATAATCCATGTGACCCCAGGTCAATTTTATGAGTACCGATAGCATTCTGCTTTCAGCACTCTTATATTTACATTATTTGGGTAGTTTTTGTATTATATCCTTCACTTGTTCTTTATCAAGTTCTTGTCAGTCACCATTTATAATAGTCAATCTTTAGAAATATATTACTACTTCAGGTAAAAATTGGGAAAAATAAGCATAATGTCACTTTTATATGTAAACACAACTAACATCTTATATAGCAATGATTTTGGTATAATTACTCTAACATGTATTCAAAACACAAACAACTGCTTTCTTGTAAGACAAAATGTTTTGCAGGGTCATTTATTCTAGTTAATGCAATTATAAAAGAAAAGAAATATAGATGACAGTAAAATCATAATTAGTTTAACCAAATACATTTGTACCGTTACATTCTAATGTGGTGTCACAACCAATTGCTTGTATTAGAGATAAGCGTTTTAATTGTAACAACTTTTTACATAATACACACCATTATTTATTGTTGTTATCAAAGACAGACATAACTGTTATAAATCATAAACTAATATTTTCTATTTCCATATAGGAAATATATTCAGAAGCTCAATTGCCATATAGGAAATATATTCAAAAGCTCAGTATTTCTATCTGACGGCTTACTGCTAAGATAATCTATATTTCCCATTATATCATACGCCATAACAAGATCTTCTTGTATGAAAACATATACAAAAACGTCCTCAGGCTATGTTAACGTAAATGAAACGCAGGAAATAAGTCCAGATTAGATTCCTCTATATTGACTAACACTGATCGATCTCGGGGGTAGTTTATTAACAAGATCGTCTTAGATGAGACAACATTTTAGATACAGCGAAACTAATGATTTATGTCTGCCTTTTATATCGATTTTAGAACAGCCTAAAGGATGAGATAATGATACTTTTGATGTAAATGCGTCATATGACATTAAATTGAAAAAAAAATATAAATCTATAAATTAACATGGCACGTTATATTTATTTATTTTAAGAAAATTAAGGCAATAACAGAGAATTAACAACAAATTTTAAAGTAAATCAAATATTTGTTATTTTAAATGCCATTATACCAAAATGAATGGTGATGTACGGTAAAAGTAATTTCTGCATTTTACTTAAAGTATTTTACTGTCAAATATAGTACAGATGTATTTAAATATAGACAGTACATACACACATATTTAACTTCTAATGCATAACACAGAACACTAATATAGAAAATAGTCCAGCAAAAGATACATTGTGCAACATTTATTTATCTAAATTAAGTTTAAAGGCCGAATATGCCTCAGACATGCATTTATCTTTATTTCTCAAAGTTCTGTATTTTTGTTGTCCTATTACAGTTTCTGAAATGTTACTTTCTGGCCAGTTACCTGAACTATTTATTGATGTTTTGCGGTTTGCTAATAAGTACAGTGAATAAATTATCTGTATGAAAGTAAAAATACTAACTTGTTTGAATTGTGCTACATTTATAACAAATATTTTCCCATTCAGTGCTAATTTCCTAAAGTAATAAGCATTTGATATGCTCTTAAACAGTTATAAAAAGAAAACGTTATAAAACTCATTTCACCATTTCTTAAGAAGGAAAAATATTTCGCAGATATGAAATGCAAGGCAAATTTTCAGTTCTTGACAGTAAAAATGTAACCTTTTATTTTGATAAAAGTGAAAGACAGTACTGAAAAAATACCAATTAATTGCAAGACCAACATTCCGTACTTTCAATATAAGTGTTTTTTTTTATATTACATAGGCATAATTTTGATGCTGAAATACTAAAATAAGTATAAACAATGGTAATCCGCATATACAATGAGATTATTATCTTTAACTACTACTGTTAGCATTCCAGAATAATTATCATAATTATCATCATTAATTTGTGTTGGAACCTTATTAAAAATGTCTGCTTTTTGTCTGCAATGAACCAGCAATGTATTCAACAAGAAATTACGTACCAAATTCAGAATGCGATTTGTACAAATTTGACTCATAAACACACCTGTATTTGACCTCTCTTTACAGACTTAGAAAGAAATAGAAAGCCGTGATAATCAGCACATACAAATATATCATTATTTTTCAAGCTTTTTTGTACTGTATTGGTTTCCATGTCAAGGAAAAAGTGTGTATCATGTTAGCATATACATGTACATTTAACTCTTAAAGACAACCCCTCAGCCACAAGAGGGAAATTTAATTAATATTAAACTACTTGTAAACTGGAGAAGTTTATATACTTTAAAACATATAATTTACTAATATATTCTTAAAACCCAGCAATCTCTATATAAGAACAGAACAGAACATACATTTTATTAGATTAGTATGGTTTAAAATAAGTATGAGGAATGGACCGAATAACCTCGTAACTTTGAATTTAGCATGAGTGTTTTAGTTCTTAGCATGTATGAGAATGATAACGTGTTATAACGTGGTGGTTATATAAAAATAGAAACAGAAGCTGCAATTCATCGGTCAGATTTTTAAGAAGTTTATTCATTTTAAATATGTAGAAAATAGTACAATTTAATAAACAGAATAGTCTTATATCGCAGAAACCATTTTATCTAGCCTGTTTATGAAATATAATGGAAAGTGCACCATCTCACACGTCCCTTGCACCGGTTTAAGCGGTTTCAGAACTCACAAAAATAGTAGAAACAACTATCCCGTATGACCACAAAAGCAACAAAGAAAACACTTATTACGTATGTTTTACATTTTATGTTTAATCTTCCTTTATACGTAGAGTTAATTTATTGTAGATAGTATGTATACATGTATAAAAAGCTAATAAAGTAACAAATACCTCGTTTATTTATTTATTTATTTTTGTTGTTGTTGTTGTTGGGGTTTTTTTTGTAAAATTTTTTACAAGATGGATCATTTAAGTACACGTATATTACGTAGATATTATTTTGCTTGTACATTTACATTAGAATGAAATACATTTCAATCCCGCCCTAGGGAGTCATTACGTTAATAGGTGTATACAATCAGCCAATTACCATAATGTTGTACTATCTGCTTCTGCTAATATATTTTTGATTTACGCAAATTGTGAAAACTATGGTTTTTACGTAATAACCCATAATGTAATTTTCATCCAGGCTATATTTAATAAAACCCATTACTGTAATAGTTTTATTTACACGTATTTTTGTTTTTCTTCGTTCTTTACTCACTTTTTATATTTATTTAATACAAAATTATGTATGGTTGATATAATATTAACATTACAAAAACAACGCGGGGTAATATGATGTCAAGATATTCAAAAATGATGTTTTTGTATTACCATATCACATAATTATTATGTACAAAAATTAATATAAGTTAATGACTTTACTGTAGTTCAATATTACAGTATCCGCAAATAGCAATCAGTTGCTATGTTATTATGCTACATGAAGTATGTTTAAATGATTTTGATACAGTTATAAGGGTTTTACCATGCTAGTATATGACGTACACAGATTTATATATATTTGTATGTGTTAAATTTAGCATATCTCATTCTATGTACAATTAATAAAAAAATGTGTATGTAAATTTTTGCAGCCGTAGGCCTTTAAGCGAATACAAGTTTTTTAATTGTCATATACAGTATATAATTTTGTTCGTGTCACATAATAACATCAAACACCATTTTCTTTGATTTAAAATATATAATGCTATATATATTTGACGAACAAATTATTGTTTGAATTAGAAAAAAAAGAATACTTCCAGGTGCTTTTATAAAAGTACTACCTATGGTAGTTTGTTGTTAAAGCTGCATGACTCCCGATCCATGCTACTTTCCATACAAATTTTGAAAATGTATTTAAAATGAAAATATTGTAAAGTAAACAAAAAGAGAAATTAATACATTGCAAACGGCACTTCTAATACACAAAATGTCAATAATGCTAAAAAAATGCATTACTTACTGGGTTAGTCACAAAGCAGAAATATGGTAATAAATACTGCAAAATCGGTCAATAATCATAGTTCATGTTGATTATAGCTTAAAACTTGAATCGTTTTACTTTTTTTAAAACCTAAGCACATTTTTCTCAAATTTGAATTACTTCAATTATTTTGGACGTAAGCTGCTTAAAAGTGAAACACGCATGCAGGAAGTAACTGTTAAAAGGCTGAAACCATACTTAAAGCAGCATATTATTTTGTTCCGGAGCACTTTATTGTTTAGGTAAAATGTTAATTTGTGTTGAATAACAGAGACATTCTATACAACAACTTTTTCGAGAATCGGGCAACAATATTATTTTACTGTTGAAACATTTTATAGAAATATTTCTTACGGTATAGCTTAATACCCATTAAGGGTGTATTGTATAAAAAGCCCCCACTATAGTTCCTCTCTACCATTTTGAAGTATTATATTAAAGTATTCATAAATATTTTGGCTGAAAGCATTTTGTTGAAATTGCAGAATCGCTGAATTTCAAAGCAGGGTTACAAGGAAAAGTTCACATAAAAAACATATGCAAATTCGGTTATCTAATGCTCAGTAAGCACATTCATTAGATGAAAAAGTGTATTCATAATTATGATAACACTCACGTGACTTATGTTGCTGTAGCTGT